ACCTTCATGGCGTGTGGCGTTCTCTATGCAACACGTTACATTAACAGGGAGGTCGAGGAGATCTTTTACTCATTCAACACCGTGACGGGACAGGAGAGGTTCAACATTGGCATCTTCATGAACAAAATGTCTACCAACATTCAAAGCCTAAATTACAGCCCTGTGGACCAGATGCTGCATGCTTACTGTGACTCCAACATGGTTTCCTACAAGGTGTTGTTTGGGTAAATTGATGTTGTTGTTTCATTTCTGCAAAATTGATTGATTTCTATAAAAGTCTGAAATTCAAATAGGTGCTCGAGTAAAACATGGTATAGCCAACACCGTTTTTCCTCAAGATGTTTCATGTTTAATGCATCACATTTCATAAACAATGTATTTCTCCATTAAGCTAATTCAACCAGTGCAAATAAAAGGTTCATCTTTGCCTTGTACTCTCTTTATTTAATAAAATCAATAATTTACAGTGTAGTGGTTTTAATGTTCAGAGTCAGTCTAACTATGTTATTATATCTTTTTTTATGTAAACATACAAATGTCATATTCTCATAAAAGTCACAAGATTGTTGTTTTGAGATTTGTGGAGAAATCCTTGCAGTGACATTAGCGTAGCAGTTATCTAAATAAGTAAATTAAATTCAAACAGATTGTCAACTTGTTAGTACAATGTATTTACTAGCTTTTTTTTAATATGCAGTGTTGGGCAAGTTACTTTAAGTAATTAATTATAGTTACTTCTTCAAAAAGTAACTGAGTTAGTAACTGAGTTACAAGATTCTAAAAGTAATTAATTACTTGAAAAGTAACTATTGCCTTACTGTGCCTGGACCCCAGAGGGTTAAACATTTTTTTAACCCTATGGGGTCCAGGGTATAATTGGCCATTTTTAACTACTTTTGATGTTTCCTCTACATTTCACCTTTAAAAACTATTTTTGTTTGGTATCATTGTTTTCAGCACGACCTCACATGTCTGAATTTACAGTTATGTTTTCATTTTGACATACTGTATTAACAAAAAACATAAAATCTGAGTAGAAAAAGTTTTTTTAATTTAATTAAATTTTTTACAGTACATTTACAATGACTGAAATTTACAATGGTTAACATTTAAGTTTCTCCTTCAAGTATCAGATAAAATGTTACACATTTATGGTTCATAATACAAGTGCACAAATCAATGCCTGAGAACCTTAATCGAATGAACAATTTTTGTAAAGAAAAGAGAGTCAAAATGTGTCAATAATAATCTGACTGACTGATAAAGTTTCTCAAAAAGATTATACACGTGTCTCTACAATTTACTGAATCATAGAGTACACTGCACTTAATTTTTCACATTGATTATATTTTTTGTTAAATAAGTGACATGATGAAATATGTCATGTTTTCATCTGAGTTTGTATTTAAATAATTTTCTTTTAAGGTTCCAATGATTTTTGTTAATATTTGCTAATATGCAAAACCCTAAATTTGAAATAGTGTTTACTTTCTCATTTACATTACATAGTTTCTACAACACCAAAACCCTAAATTTGAATTCAGTTCAGTTTTATTTATATAGCACTAAGTCACAACAACACTTCCCTCAAGGCATTTTATATTGTAAAAACCCCATAATAATATAAAAAAACAGAGAAAACACAACAATCATATCACTCCAATGAGCAAGTGATTTGACGACAGTGGAAAGGAAAAACTCCTTTTTAACAGGAAGGAACCTCCAGCAGAACCAGGACAGGAGAGGGACGTCCATGTGCAGCAATGGAAGCAGATATGGAAGATAAAGTCCAAAGCAGCCCCCATGGTAGTGGAAGCATAAAGAGTTGTAGCCCCATAACAGCTAAAATATTAACGTGTACTCTCAAGCTAGGCCTAGATAGATAGATAGATAGATAGATAGATAGATAGATAGATAGATAGATAGATAGATAGATAGATAGATTTTTTAAATTTTTTACAGCATACATGACATATTTGTGATATTTGTATTGCTTGCATAAAATAGTCCTCAAACTGAACTTTAAATCATTGCTTTTTTCTTACTGTTTAACAAGCTTTAGATCAGAAGTAAACCTGGTAGGCCAGCAAGTATCCATCGTTGTACATGTAGATCTGCTTGTTGGTGGGATTGTAGCTCAGACTAGCCACTGCTTTAGCTACCTTCTCCAGTGGTATTGCTAGTGAGTTGTCTTCTTTGCCTGTGGCTGTGTCAAAGGCGTAGAACACCTCCTCCCGGTACTCATTAACGTAACGAGTTGCGTACATCACACCGCACACCATGAAGGCGTTACTTACTGCCTTCTTGAACAGCCTCGTTTCCCACGTCTGTGTCACGTTGAGACTCTTCACCTCGCTGTCCCAAACTAAGCGGCTGATCACGAGGTTACCATGGTTACCTATAGTGGCATAGAGAGCCCACAGCCCTGTTTCATCTGCCTCTACATCAACATCACTATTGAGCCGGCAATCGTAGTAACAATAGGGGAACTTGTTGTTGAAACCCACACCGGTGCCTGGAAGAGTCACCCGTTTGACCTCGTTGGTCTCCAGGTCGTACCGGCAAATGTCTGCAGAGCGGTAGCAGTGATAATACAGAGCCTCGCCATACAGGACGGCGTTCGGACCTTCATTTGTGCTGGGATGACTGTAAGATGAAGCAAAGGTAAATTCTCTGTGGTTTGTTGAGGCCATGAGGTCTTCATAGGTTTGGTAAAGGCGCACAGTGTTGCCCCAGATGTGGCTGCTGAGCAGAGGTTGAACCCAGTAACTGTTCTTCTGCCCATCGCTCTCTTTCTGGGCTTGTTTTCCCCACGAACCAGAGATGTAGCTCTTACCATGAGGACTGACTTTAGCTGTGATAGGGTCACTGATGTTGGTGATCAGACCTCTGAGGCAGTGCCTGTCATGACCTGGAAAGACAGAAAGATCAGGAGGTTTCTGAAGGAGATAATAAGATACAGTCAATCATTGTCACCTATCGGGATCATTTATTTATTTAGAGTGTCTGTTTGGCTCAAATATTATTTTCAGACAGGATCAGGGAAAATAAGCTAGTTCTTGTAGTTCTTGAGTGACACGGCTTTGTACTGGGTCTTCTCCACCATTCCTTGTGCATAGGTAGAATCAAAATACAAAGAAAATCCAATACCCCAATCACTGAGAAATACTGTGTTCAGGAATAATTGATTATTACAAATTAATTGATAATTGTCTCTCACTGACAATCCCACACACCCACAGTTTTTTCATATCATAGTGAGGACATCTAATTGACATAATGCTTTCCCCAGCCACCTAGTCTAAACCTAACCATCAAAAATTAATGCCTAACCCTAACCCTGTTGTAACCCTGACACTAAAATCACATTTTGAGCCTCAAACTCGTGTGAACGGGCATTTCGTCCGCATAAGTATAGCAGCATGTTAATTTTCTGTCCTCACAAAGATATCTAAACATGTACACCACACACACACACACACACACACACACATACACACACACACACACACACACACACATACCTCTGAAGTCTTTGGGGATTGACTTGCAGGTCTCCACATTATTCTTTAGGTAGCGCAGTTTCTCCTTCACAGTCTTCATGTTAAGCGTGTCTATTGTTTGCATCTTGTTTACATGTTTATGTAGTCTATCAGCCTATCAGAAATGGATATAATATTATTCTATTGATAATTCTGTTACATCACAACAGGTCACATGTGACCTGACATAGTATGACATTAAATCTTTTCTTTCTGTTGTATTTTGCTGCCATTTGCTATTTTAGCTCTACCTCTTTGGAGAGTTTCTGTGTCTCGGAGTTGTTAAGCTGGCTGTGGACCACATCGATGTCCACCTGTAACTGGCTGAGCTCCTGGCCCAGCTGGCGCAGGGACAGTTCTGTATACAGGCCCCTGAAATGCAGGTAGTTGTAGGGTTCCAGCCGAGCCGTAAAGTTGGTAAACTGATCCTGGATCAGAGGGAGACGTTGGCTAGAGAACGTCAGCTGCAAGAAATGCAGACAAAAAAATCCTGTGATATTCTGATCCCAGACTGAAGTTGAAATATTATCTGGCAGACAATAACATAAAATTAATGGTAACAGGAAATCAATTCTGTGGGTATTTCAGTGTTTTTGCTTTTTAAACTTTTTTAAAGTATTTAATATCAAATATTGAAATGGTTATGAAAAGTGATTATTTTACATTATATTATTTTACAAATTTTACTGTGCATACTTTCTCATATCATATCAAATTTCAGTATAAGAGTATAATAAACGAGGAGGTACTTATAGAAAAGAGATTCCAAAAGGCCAATGTGGAATATAACTGAAAAATAAAACACCGTGGACCCCGGCTGTGTATTTAAATCCCAACTGATAATGTAAGTTTAACAAGACAAACAAGCCATAGGTTTTCTAGTTTTCAATATGAATCCCACAAATCTTTTTGGTGTTCAATAATAAATCTGTTGAAGGTGGCAGAGGAATGATATGAAAATATAAACTTCAGTAACACATACATTTAAAAATTACATACCAATATATAGTATATGTGATAATAAAAAAATTATAAATAATGAAACAATAATATTGCAATTGGTACTTATGCTTAAGTAGCAGAGGTGAGTAAAATAATGCTACATGAGTTCTTACCTCTTCTTGTAGGTTATTCAGAGATCCTTCACAGGTGTGAACTTCCTCCAACACGTACTTAAACTTCTGAGCAGGGAACAGCCACATGGTGGAGTTTAGCTGGCACACACATGCATTTGCCTTCTTGTAGCCCGACACTCGCTGACTCCGGCTGTCAGCCTGATTGTGGGTACAGCAGGTTAAATCCTGAGGAACTGTTCACGGGCTACTCAAATAACTTTTTCTCCTAAAATACCATATTAAATCATTAGCTTTGAAGTGTAACTTACCGTGGATGACAGCAGTAGCAATAGAAGTATCTGCAGCATGTTTAGCTGGAAAAACTAAGACTGGACCAATAAAGATGCACACACACAAACACACACAGTGCTCCTCTGTTTTCTCTAATAAACTCACTGACAACAAACACACAGCCTGCTGGCCTGTTTCCTGTCACTGATGGGTTGCGTCACAGACTTAAAAGCAATTGGATGACACAACTAAAAGCATCAAGCTGGACTTCTGTAGGACCCCTCCCACTTCCTTCATGTATTGTTAATTTATCAGCTCTCATTTCCAAATGTTTTCATTCCTTCCTAACAGGATTATTTCCTACTTTATTAATTTTTTTAATTTTTTAAATTATTATAGATTACTACTGGCAGATGTTATACATTTACTTTAACATTAAAATGTTAAAACCTGTAACCAATGGAAACGGCCCTTTTAGCATATTGTAACAAATTAATCTGATTTTTGCAAGGGTGAACTTAGATAAAAGTGATACACTCTTAGAAACTAAATAACAAGAGACACTTTTTAAATTCTATCACCTTTTTTATGTTAAACTATTTTTATCAGTTCTGAATAAAAAAGTAAAAAATTAAGCCCTTCTAATCTCTGTTACGTACCCTAAAAGGTAGGCATTTACATTGACATATTAATATGTAATGAAAAGTAGCAACTTCTAAACATGTACTTGCTTAGCAACGAAACCTTATACGTTATCATAAATTATCATTGGAAACTTGGAGACTGTTAAAAGAGCACAATAAATGATTTACTGTAAGATGTTGCATGTATAACACAAACCACAGAATTAAAAAAAATCTAATTATTATTGCGGTCTGACTCAAAGTGGACACTTTCAGTTCCTGAAACTTTACCATTACAGGATCTACAACTAAGATTCAGCATGTATGACTCTCTAAATCTTCAAAATAGATGCACGTATTAGTCACTGTCTGCCTTTATGTGCACTGTTAAAAAAAACATCTTAAAAAAACGGTAATATTCCAGCAGCTGGGGCGCCAAAATACTACCGTAAAATAACAGAAAATAACTTTCTCATAAAAATACAGTTATTTTCAGTAATGAAAATAGAGTTTGTTGCGCCAATTTTACTTGGGATTCTGCCTTTTCCAAGTGCTTTTAGACATTAAATTAGGAACATTTTGACGTGATCAAACAATGAAATCACCTATAAACAAGGTCAATGAATGTGGCAATAAGAATCATAATACGTAAATATACAGAAATATACAGTTAGCAGTTGGTTTAAATAATAATGGATTGCATGCCCTGGGACAGACTGACAGAGGCGAGGCTGCCATATCAGCCCTTCTGGCCATTACCAGTAGGTGAAGAGTCTTGACCACGGACACAATACCGAGACTGTCCGAGCCGGTGCTCGAATCGGCAACCTTGTGATCACAAGGCGAACTGCCAACTCTTGAGCCACGATTGCCCTAAATAGCAATGATAATAATACTTATGTGATGTAACACAAGCTTATAGGAATCATGTTATATACTTTTCCATAGCATTACATTTGAATTCAACAATTCAATCTTTCAAATAACGGACAGATATTTGTGAAATCATTAACTCAAAAGTGGATTATAGATGGCAGACAGTTGGTGTCGTAAACCCCCGCCTCTGTTCAAAGATGGTCGCTCACAGTGGACATAGATGGCTTCTTTCACTCCTCTTTCAAAACATCTGTCCTCTCTGTCCAAAATGTGAACATTGGCATCACAGTGATTTAACGTTAATTTACATTTGAAATGTGAAATCACAGTCTATTTACGTAACTAATGATATTCTACAAGAACAGAACAAAACTGTAAAATGCACAGTAAAATACTTTTATATTAGGATTTTCCTACAGTACACCCATACCCGCGACCTTGTGGTTGTTAGTTCACATTCATTGGCCGATGCTTAGTGTCATGTTATTATGTGTCCCAACATCCAATGGCATGTCACATTGTTTTCATGGCCACACCCTCACCCCAGGTGCAGTGGCCTATTTCTGTTCAGGAATGTTGTGAATACTTTGAGATTCATATTAATTGCAATTCCTACCTCTACATTAGTGATGCGCGAATCATGAACGAATCGTTCAATACTCGAGAATCACTTTACTGACTCATGAATCATGATTCACAAGCCCAACTGACTCACTGACTCATCCCTGTTGCTGTTAGCAGCAATGTATGTAGGTTATAATTAAAATTGTGGAGAAAAACACAACATCCAGTATCATAACAAAAAAATTTCTGCTCTGAACTGGAAGAAAAAACCCTGAGTAGAAGCTCACATTAAGAAATATAGCTCCTCGGTTCAGAGTAGCATCGCTCTGCTAACATGCTAACAGCACATTTGAGCTACTCACCCCTTCCCTTCCTGTGCTGAATCGTAAGCGAATCACTCAGGACTCGCTCACCCCCTCCCTCCTGTGCTGAATCATAGAGCGAACGAATCACTCAGGACTCACTAACCCCTTTCTTCCTGTGCTGAATCGTAAGCCTAAGCAAATCACTCAGGACTCACTAACCCCCTATCTCCTGTGCTGAATCATAGAGCGAACGAATCACTCAGGACTCACTAACCCCCTCCCTCCTGTGCTGAATCATAGAGCGAACAAATCACTCACTCACTCGCTCACCCCCTCCCTCCTGTGCTGAATCATAGAGCGAACGAATCACTCAGGACTCACTAACCCCTTCCTTCCTGTGCTGAATCGTAAGCCTAAGCGAATCACTCAGGACTCACTAACCCCCTATCTCCTGTGCTGAATCATAGAGCGAACGAATCACTCAGGACTCACTAACCCCTCCCTCCTGTGCTGAAACATAGAGCGAACAAATCACTCACTCACTCACTAACCCCCTCCCTCCTGCTGAATTGTAAGCGTAAGCGAATCACTCAGGACTAGCTCACCCCCTCCCTCCTGTGCTGAATCGTAAGCGAATCACTCAGGACTCACTCAGGACTCACTCACCCTCTCCCTCCTGGCTCACAGCTTCTTCTTCCTCTTGGTTGGCAACCAATGTTAAGGCGCATTACCAGCCCCTGGCTCACAGCTCAGTGGACATTTAGATGAGAAAATATATATTTAACACATTTAAGGAAAATACTAATAAAATAAAAAATAAAAATATATTAAAATAAAATAAAAATAAATAAATGTTTATTAAGCAATTTTGATAGGAAATTGCTTAATTTTAGAAATGTTTTTGCTCTTTTTTGCTCTATAAAATAGTTGTTTTCTTTTAGAATCATTCATCTTCACATTTTTTGCACTCTCTGGTCGACTGACTCAGTGAATCAAATGACTCACAAAACCCGATTCACTTTGGTGAGTGACTCATTAAAACTCAATTCAGTAAAAAGAACCAAATTTACCATCACTACTCTACATTTATTTTTTAAAATATATAATTAGCACAGCGTGGCCGTGCAATGTTTTATATGTTTTTTTTAGTTTTTATTCCTATTAATTATATTTTCTCTTGTTACCTCCGAATTATTGAAATTACTCCTTTAATTATTGATTATTCTCATTCCTTTTTGATCATTTTATATATTTTTCCATAGTATTACATTTGAATTTAACAGATCATTCTCTCACATAACAGACAAATATTTGGGAAATTATGATACATTTCTGAATGTATTTTTACAATCAAAATATGCATATGTACAAAAAAATATATTTAAAAAACAAGTAAATTGTGTTTTACTATATTTTCAGTACACTGTTACATTCTTGTCTGAAAAGATCTTAAAGGTTTATTTTGTCACACAGAAAGTAGTAATAAGACTAATATTAAAAGTAAGTAGCTGCCACGATTGTTGGAAACTGGAATTGGCTGGGCCGCGCTATGAGTTCTGGGATAGGTTGGGCCACGAAGGATACACCCGAAATGAGGGACACATCTGTCAGCTGCATATGTAGTATCCTTCGAATTGGGACAGCCTTCGTCCCCTGGCTGTGCCTTAATCGGTCTACAAATGCAGCAGGATGCAGCCTAGGAATTGAGACACGGCGATAGCGTCGGTATGTTACGTTTTGGGAAGAGAATGTGTTGCTTTAAAATCTTTCAGTCTTTCTCCAGTTGACTCATTTCTGTTTGCTGGTTTTTGTCAATAATTATAAAAGACAACATATGAGAATGGAGACCTCAAACGTTTACCAGATATGTTTATCGATATTTCATATATAAAAAAGGAAAAACATGATACATTTTTTCAAAACTATACAAATTGTTTTCCTCACATCCTAAATGTTATTGGGTGGTGAGTTAATCAACCCATAAAAATACATTACAATTCAAATCAGTTAAATTAAACTGAACTGAGCAAGCGTACAGGATATCACCAATTCCAGTTGTGTAGCACGAGTAGCGATAACAACTGCACAATTTGAACACTTAACAGGCACAAAAACCACGTGGTGGTGACTAAAACATAGCATGGATAGCAACCTCTAGAGTTAAAAATTAATTGTGAATGGTATAATTGGACATGACATGATTTTTCTTTCCGTGGTATTTTTTGCACTCATGTAGAATTTTCACTTCCTGTTCCTGAAACCTGTTACTACATCTTCCATTGAGAGAAGCTGCATATGAAATGTCCTTAAAATCCTCAAAAAAAGGTGCATGAATCAGTTGTTTGGATTATCTTTGTATATTCCACGTATTCCAAGTTTTATTATCAGATGCACAGGAATGTGCTTATTCAGTTAAGGTGTAATAGTTTTCTGCATTTTTTTATTGTTGCTTTTATTTCACTGTGTTGCAGTATCTGTAGTAACAGTGTGTTTTTCTTTTTTCCTCTTTGTGGCTATTGTTTCTTGTTTAAGTTGTTCTCTTTCTCTCTTTGTGTCGTGCTTTCTCTCGCTTTCGTTCTGTGTCTGTGATTGTCAACATTTTTTATTTCTTCTCTCGACGTTCGCACAATTCCTCACAAGTTTGATGTTGCTGCTTCAGTCAGACACAAAATTTTCTCTCTGGTCCAACATGAGGCTGTATGTGATCATTCCACTGTGTGCTCTGCTCACCATCACCAAGCAGGTAAGAAACACTGAAGCCTCAGGTCACATAGAAATCTTTTTAAAACTTTAGTA